TGTAAAGGATCAGGAAAATCACTTATTATCGAAACWATGGATAGAGTTTATGGTACACCCAGGATACAGAAGTATTAAGGGGACTGGAGGATGTGGTGAAGGGCCAGATGAGTTTGCCTTATCCAAGGACAGGGAACATGAGCTGAAAATCCTAACTAGTCAAGAACTTAAGAACTTTTTGAAGAGGGAAGGTATTATTTTGAAGTCATTCAACAATATCCAAACATRAATATTTTTTCTGAATCAAAAAATGAATTTTTTATTTGCAAGACAATCAATCAAGAATAAAACCAATAAACTCGATTGATTTTAGGGGTACATTTCATTATTTACCATGGTTTACATCAGTGTGCTGTCCAATCTATTTCCTGTTGTCACTGYATAGTTCAATCACTTTCACAGATTCATCAGGACATGTTTTCATTACTTTCATGGATTTCCAGTTCCAGTAATAAAAACATGTTGACTGTAATAATTGAGGCTTTGCACCATCACCTGATGTCAGCCATGACAGAAGGCAGAAACATGAATTAGTTCTGGCTTAATGAATTCAATTTTMCTGTGGAAAGCTACAATTGTTATGCCTACTGCAATGTCCAACATCATGTGACGTTGCGTCAGAACTAGGCAAAATGAATTGCAATATGTGTTGATCAACGCCACAATRTATACGTCACAGTGTATTATTCATAGTACAAAATTATTTTGAGAATTTACAGAGATAATAAATAAAACAGCAAAGTAACAAGTTAATAAAATAAGAAGAAGGAAATATYGTTGCATATTTTAAAAATATGATACTCTTTCAATAACTGTTATTAAAACTTAATTTATGTTTAAAAATAACAAGGAGAATAGAATAGGATGCTGCTTATTAATGGAAAAACAATTTCATTGGGAAATATAATTAAAATGTTATATAATAACTTACGACGACTGGTAATGAAACTAAGACAAATATAAAATCGCCAGGTAAAGTAATGATAAATGAAAATACTACAGCTAAGTACGATTAAAACATTCCCACATGCCTTTCAAATTCTAATGTTTTTCATGCATATATACTATTCCTGCTCCAAAGCGATTTGGCACAATGTTTTTCYAGAAAAACATGCAAACTACACAATTATTTATCACTATATCCTACAAAACAATATTTCTTAATCATAAGTATTAAATGTTTAGATTTTAATGCTARTCTAAAGTTTGGCTGCAACATAGTTGGGTCGTTGAACAAACTGTTCTTCTTCTGTGGATCCACTCATTGCTGTCACTGAGCTCCGTCCACCACTTAATGCCATAGCAACGGCATCAAAGTAGCTTGTTCCAACTTCTCGTTGATGCTTGTGGGCTGTGAATCCTTTACTGGCCTGAGCAAACTCATCCTCTTGTATCTTGGTGTATGCTTTCATGCCATTGTCTTTATAATCATGTGCCAGCTTGAACATTGCATGGTTAAGGCTGTGGAAACCAGCCAGGGTAACAAATTGGAATCTGTATCCCATCTTTCCAAGTTCTTTCTGGAACACAGCAATTTCTTCATCAGATAGGTTTGCTTTCCAGTTAAATGATGGTGAGCAGTTGTATGCTAGTGGTTTTCCTGGAAATCGGGCATGGACGGCCTCAGCAAATCTTCGAGCTTCATTCAAGTTTGGCTTTCCAGTTTCACACCACAACACATCACAATAAGGTGCATAGGACAATGCACGGGCAATAGCTTGGTCAAGCCCTGCTTTAGAGCGGTAGAACCCTTCTGGGGTCCGTTCGCCAGTCAAGAATGGTCTGTCACGTGGGTCAATGTCAGATGTTACCAGAGCAGCAGCATTGGCATCTGTTCTGCCGACAATGACAAGGGGTACTCCCATGGTGTCTGATGCAAGACGAGCAGCATTAAGGGTCTTTATGAACTGCATTGTTGGGACAAGCACTTTGCCACCCATGTGTCCACACTTCTTTTCTGAGGCCAGCTGGTCTTCAAAGTGAACTCCAGATGCTCCAGCAATAATCTGGCAAAATTAACACATTTAAAGGGACCAGTCATTATTGTTGAAGGAGGGGGATAGGAGGAAGAAAAAAAATAGTCAAAAGATTGACCCAACCCAGCTCTAGTGTAAAGAAATCAGGATTTTCTTACCATTGCTTTGGTGAGTTCATAGGCATTTAAAGGGCCTCCAAATCCAGCCTCACAGTCGGCAACAATTGGGAGAAAGAAATCAACCGAGTGATCCCCTTCCATGTGGGATATTTGATCAGCACGAGTGAAGGCGTTGTTGATCCTCTGGACCAGTTTTGCTGCAGACTGAGCAGGATACAGGCTCTGGTCAGGGTAAGTTTGTGCTGCATCATTATTATCTGCCGCAACTTGCCAGCCACTCAGGTAGATGGCTCTCAGACCAGCTTTTGCCATTTGGGTTGCTTGACCACCTATTCAGTAGAAATGTAATGTATCTTAAGTTTTGTCCATATAATATATGAATGCTATTAATGTAAAGAACAAAATGGTGTTCTTCTATGAATCCTTTAACCCAAGATTTCTCCACCTTCTGTTCCTAATATTTAATCTTATCAATTCTTATTTCTTTGTCTATTTCGTTCCCCACCGAAACAAATATTCAAAATAAAAGAAATTTCTTCATGAATTTCTTTAGCTTTTTTTTTCGAAAACAAATATAATTTCGTTCTTTTATTTTACTGATCATTTCATAAGTAAATTGGAAAGATTAGAAATGTGTTTTTGGGAAATGCTTTACTTGGGTTGCGCTGCATAAAATTCTGGTTTCACCTTGTCGCGATCAAAGTCCATTATGCAATACCCGCCCTAGATTTCATCAGAAAGCAAAATTTACCATTTATCGGCGATGAAAAGACTCTTAAAACTGTTTTAAAACCTCATATACCTAGTGATTTATAAAAACATCTTTACTTTAACGTTTTAATGATTATAACTCAGACTACGGCGTAATTCCCGAATTTCGCTATCGAAAAAGAGCATTCTGCCACGTTACTGATGAGATGGCGTCGTTTTTCGTTCTCGTCTTGAAGAAGGTTCAAAAAGGCTTCTCATGGAGCGAAATCTTACTTCTTTCGGCATTCCCGATTGTTTGCACGTGGACTTTGATCCATCGTTCGATTTTCGCGCAAATCCAAGTTTTCTTGGCGACGCGGGTTTTTCCTTGTAAGAAATCGACAATCTACCATATTTGGGATCAAAGAATCTACCATATTTGGAAGATATAACTAGCTAAAAACTAGTGTGAGCTGCGTCGGTGTTTCTAATGAAACAGTAATGATGAAAAGGTAAATTATACACCGTGAAAAGATGAAAAAACTTAAAGTTTTTTCATCTTTTCACGGTGTATAATTTACCTTTTCATCATTACTGTACCATATTTGGATCTTGTTTAAAATTCACGTGGCTCCGATGTCAAGCTTCAGTTCAAAAGATTTTTCAATACAATAAAGTTTCATAGAGGAGAAAAAACGATATTTCTAACCTGTGAGCGCTCCCAAAGCATTGACATAGATATCTCCTCCTCGAGTCAGAATCTCCCAGAGCTTTTCAGATCCTCGCTTTGCGAGCGTGTATTCGATCCTCAAAGTACCGCGAAGCCTTTCTACTTGTTCCTCTGTGTAATCTCGCATTACCCCAGCCCATCGATTGTTTTTCCTGTAAATTGAAGCCATTTAAAAAAAAATCTTTCGAGAATAATGAAAAGTCTCTGTCTTCTAACTATATCTGACTCCCAAATGCCGCTTTATCTGAATGAAGTTGTAGTTACGCTTTTTGCGTCAAATGGACTTTGTACTCTTCATCAGGCAGTTGATTGGCGTATAGAAATTACTGCTATCTGATTGGTTAAGCCTCAGTATTTTTCCGACCAAGAAAGAATTTTTACATCATTTTTATGATAAAAAAATAGGCCAAACAAAATAACCAGTTTAAGCAATTTCATACAATTTTAGTTATTTTTATTACCGATTTCATTGAGAAATAGAAGTATTTCGAGGGTAAAAATGACGTCAAAGCTTTGGGGGTGTGTTGGGGGGAAGATACGTGGTCGGGTACGTGTGTGCAAAATGTCAYGAACAGTATGTAAATATATCTTTTAGCGTGACTTTAAACATCACAATGTTCACGCAAGGATTTTGAAGCTTTTTGATTTAATTATTTTGCTAAGATATGATCTCGTCCTATCTCTTTGTCGTTGTATGAATCCTTAAGAGTTAAAAAAGAAGACCACCATGGTTTAATGATGCAAATATTAATAAAGCGCGTTGTTTTTCAGGATACCAACCATTGTACTCGATTTGGACTTTGAGCCCTGACGTCACTCTTCGACACCGCTTCATATTTTTGGCGCAATGTTTTCGCTTTTTATTCGGTCCCAAGTATCTTCTTTGTTGAGAGTAGTGAAAAGGTCAAGGACGGTCGCTCACACACTGTCAATTCTGGATATCGCTAGTTGAGCGACCACAACCCACAAAGGAGCAAAAACTATGACTTATGGAATCACTCTAACACAGAAAAACAAAAAAAACGAACAAACAAAAAGACCTACTCTCTATTTAGAGAATGTATATATAGAATATATATTTATACTCTCTATATTGATGTTCAAAAAAGAATTTTACTGATGTCGGGCCGTCATCCTCAG